ACATAGCCACACCCAAAGATGAGTATCCAATGCCCACGGTAGATTCTTTAGTAGACTCAACTGTCGGACACGTCATGTATTCTTTCATGGATGGGTATTCAGGATACAATCAAATTTATATAGCTGAGGAAGACATATACAAAACTACCTTTAGATGCCCTGATCTCTAGGATGTTTTAAATGGGTAGTCATGCCTTTCGGCCTGAAAAATGTAGGAGCAATTTATCAAAGGGCAATGAATTTAATTTTTTTATGATATGATAGGCAAGTTTGTTGAAGTGTATGTAGATGATATAGTGGTCAAATCCATTAAAGAAGAGGACCATTTTGAACAGTTAAGATGTTCATTTGAGCGAATAAAGTAATATAAGTTAAAGTTGAATCCCTTGAAATGTGCATTTGGTATTAATGCAGGGACCTTTCTTGATTTCTTGGTACACAAAAGAGGGATTGAACTTGATAAAAATAAAGCGAAGGCCATTCTAGGGGCCAAACCACCTAACAACAAAAAAGAATTGCAAAGGTTTTTAGGCCAAGTAAACTTTTTAAGACGCTTCACTTCTAACTGTGCAGGGCGAACTAAAGTCTTTTTGCCGCTTTTAAAACTGAAAAATCAGGACGAATTCGTCTGAAAAAAAGAACATCAAAGGGCTTTCGAAAGCCTGAAGATATATTTATCAAATCCACCAGTGTTGGTGTCACTAATCCAAGGACGACCAATGAAAGTGTATGTATCGGCTGAAAAAGAATCAATAGCTGGAATGGTCGCGCAAGAAGACCAATTTGGTGAAGAGAGGGTGATTTACTACTTGAGTAGACGGTTAACAAAATGTGAATGTAATTACTCTGCTATCGAAAAATTATGTCTTGCATTGTATTTCACATGTACAAAATTAAGAGCTTATTTACGGCCCGTAACCGTTTATTTGATTTCTAGAGTAAATTTGGTTAAGTATATGTTCTCTCGCCCTATTTTAGACCAAAGGGTAGGCCTTTGGACGTTAGCTTTATCAGAATTCGAAATACAATATATACCCCAAAAGGCAGTCAAAAATCAAGCTTTGACTAATTTTCTAGCCGATCATCCATACCTTGACATGCCTGAAGAAATTGAATTAGAAATCAATTCGTTCGAACTAAAACCTTGGTTTTTGTATTTCGATGGGTCAAAAACCTCTAAAGGTGCAGGAGTAGGAGTAGGAGTAGGAGTAGGAGTAGGAGTAGGAGTAGCATTGATAAATCCTTTAGGGATTTGCTACAAGTTCGCATTCACTTTGGATAGAATGTGCACCAACAATCATGCCGAATATGAAGCCTTAATCGTGGGCCTAGAACTAATGATAGATATGGGGGTAAAGAATATAATTATTAGAGGCGATTCTCAATTGGTAATTCACCAATTGATTGGTGATTTTAAATGTCAAAGTGATTCCATCATGAGTCAATATGAAATCGCCCAAGAATTGTTAGAAGAATTCGACCAAGTAGAACTTCAATACGTTAATAAGATATATAATGAAGTGGCAAATGATTGGCCCAGATGGCCTCAGCGGCAAAGAGTTTAGAAACGAAGGACCTTGAGTACAAGGGAATAGCGGACCGACCGCCACTTGTTCGATGGCCTCGACGTTATTAAATGAAGGACTTAGATAGAACTCTTTGAGTTCGACATTGGCTGGTGCAAGGAAGTTCGGAGTTATATATGGCCGAGTGAGGAGTTTCTGGAAGTCTTCGAAACTGAAGGAGTCACCAGACTGGGATTGTGAAGCAGCCATTAGGAACGAAATAGAGTTTGTCGAAAGTTTGCGTAAGAAACGTAGCAGAGAAGCAAGAAGATGAACAGTAATATTGCGAAAGAGAAGCGCGAAAAAATGAGGCGAGATTTAGTGGTGCAATGAAATGACGTGTATTTGGGGGGTTATAAGGGTTTGCAAACGTCGCACCTTTTCAGGCTATGGAAGAAAACAATGATTGAAATTTTTGGGAATTTCGAATGTTGTTGGGAAACACAAAGTGAATATGGCAAAAATTAATAATTGGTATTAATTCTGTCATATTGGGAAGTAATTGTAGACACACAAAAAGTTCAGCCCAAATCGAATGGCCCAAGGAATGAAGCCCAATTGGAGGATCCCCAAATTAGATAGCCCAAAGAACGGCCCAATCAAGGCAATGCAGGGTAAAGACCCAAATAGGAAAGCTCATGAACGCGGTAATACCATCACCCAAGGTTACAAGTTGCCCAAGATTTGAGAGAATGGATTGCCATGCAGTCGCCCAGAGCTGTGACCCTGTTCTCGCCCAAACCTTCGAGTCGCCCAAGATTTTAGCAAACATAAGATGTTATGGTTACCCAAATGTGCGGTTAATGAAGCAGTTATTAAGTAGCCCTATCATGTTCCACGATTCAAGGAATTCAATTGAAAACGGTTGAACGACAAAAAGTAATGGCAGCAGTTAGAGAATGCTGTTCCATGACAAGTTGGCCACTACGAAGAAAGTGGGCAGTTATAGAGCGATTAAGCAGTTTTTAAGCGGTTGATCATGAAGAGATCATCCAGGGAGTATACAAGAAGGAAAAGACAGAGCAAAGAAACCCGAATCAAACACTCTCGAACAGAGAATATGTAACTTTAAATTTCTTAGTTTAGATTTAAACACTTCTTTTCAGTAACTCGTGTGCTTGCGCCCCTTGGAGGCATTCTGTTTTTATTTTCCAATTGTGAAGTCGTCGCCAATAAAAACACCCATTTTTGGGACTTTGTCTCAAGAGGTTTGTCCCTTACACAATCGTCTGATCCCTTTTTAATTGTTAGCGACTAACCCACGCGAAACAGTATGTATGTATGTATGAATTAGCATGAGTTTCATTTATTTTGTAATTTCAGTTTTAACAATACATATTAAAATCATTATTTGATTATATCACACTATGTTAAAGAGTTTTTGAAGTTAGTTTTTAAAATTATTAAAATATCGCAAATTATATTTACTTATTTCCAATCAAACGATGAATAAATTCTTCTAGCACTTGACTGACTTGAGAGGGTGGCATGTATTATGTAAATCAATTAAAAACAGCAGTAAAATCCAATTAGGCCTACAGGTTCATTAGCAGTATCAAGAAAGTTAGCCATCCCATGTCAAGAAATTTAACCATATTCTTCCCCGTAAAAAGGCAGCTAAATCAACGAAAGGTCGAGGTCGTAAGAGTGGGTTTTAATGTAAAAACTCAAATATAAGAAACTTCAACAGTTACATTTCAAGTTGAAGAGGAAAAAAAGGAAAATCTTCACAGCTAGATTGCCTCATCATGAAGTGCACATTAAGAATAAACAATTGAAGATTAATCAAACGTGAATCCAAGACCAAAAAGGCCATATCTAGTACACAATATCATATAAAATTTTAACTCTCTTTTCTTATTTAAATTCTCTTCAATATGGTCAAGTCCAACGTACCCAGCATGACAAAAAAGACTTCAAACTTCATGTGTCACAAGAGTCCACACATCATGATTTCTGAAGAAAACCACATCTATGAAGCTCAAAATCACAGTATAAAGGTACTGCAGATGAATAAGTATATCCGGAGAAATAGAAGAGTATCAAAAAGAGCGAAAATTTAGTGCAGTGAGATCTAACTCCATCCAATCAATCCTCATCTATATCTTTACAATATAATATCCTCAACTCTAAACACCTCTAGCTTTGTGGCACCAGTACATCTCTACAGGCTCAAACCAATCATAAACCTTATTCACTGAATGAAATTGAAATTAGTACAATTCCCATTGAAACCTCTCCAGTAATAGTTATAATTATTCTATAGCAACTAAATGAAATTCAACTCAATACTTGTAGTTACTTGAAGGTTAGCAGCAATACACAACTACTACATATAGCGATGGCTTAGTATTGGTGTAAGAGATTCTTATCTCATCTAATACTAGCACAGATCGAGATCAAGAACAGCATTTAATTGGTGACTTGGTTCATAAAGATATATGACTCATAGATGTAGTACACACAAAAAGCAATTTGGCAAATTATCTATCGATTACTAATTCATTGATGAATTGTTAGGCACCAAGACCAAAGTTGTTGGTTCAAATCTAATAGGTCACTCAGCTTAAACAATGCCACACTGTCAATACGTATGTAAACTAAAAGAAAGCATTAATGTTAGAATTCTAAGACGATATTTGGGGGAACTCTCTTGTGTAAAAATACACAAAGTAGCCAAGCAAAGCGTAAAGAAAACAAAGAGAATAAAGTATTGAAGCTCTGGAAGCATGTTTATCAATCCAAATTGCTCCCCTCGATGCAATACGAGAATCTTGTTACAGAATTCGCTCACTTCTTAAAAAACCTATAACAATCCAAAATAGTGACCGTGTAAAGTGAGAAAATGATAGAACAATACCATCATGAAAAGTGCAAAATCCCATGGCAATAAAAAACAAGGATTACCAATGTAAATACAGCCCAAACAAAGATAACCCACCAAATCACAGACATTGCAATTTCTCTAACCAAGCCAGAGCAAGGCAACAAATCACATGCCCATTGGAGATCAGTGAGCAAGTTATCGTCAATTTGAGATAAGCGGAGAAGAAGTAACACGCCAGCAGGCAAAAAGAACGCAAAACTCTAATCAATTTATACTAATATATCCTCCTCAAACTTTTATATGAGTTGATTCAACATATCATATTTCACTGTATTGCAGCACGGTGCAATGTAAAAAGATATTTCCAGTGTATGAATTTTTAATTAAGGGTTAAATTACATATAGCTTAAATATGAAAGCAATAATCGGTGTATCAAATTCTTCATACTTAATTAGTACTAAGGAGCAAGAGTAGAGTTGATGGAAAATTGCCATTACCACAAGCACGTGCAAACAACCACAAAGGTTAAACTTACTCAATGTTAATTAGTAATTTGTATTTTGGGTTTGCAGGTAGCAATTAGTCCTGTTAGGCTTAACCAACGAAAAGAAGGAAGTTGATGATTTAGCACTAGGATTAATGATAATAATTTGTAATTAGAAACATTAGTAACTAATAATAGGAAGAAAATTAAGAAAGGAGCAAGCAAGCACCGATCGAAGATATGGCCTATACAAAAGGAGATGCATTATGCATTTATTAAAGATGGATGATACTTGCGCCAAGCCTCCAACCCATGCAACCCATTTCTGCACACTCTTACTCTAGATTGGTATGGCGAGCTCGAACATCATCAGGGCGCTGCCCCAAAATCTCACCCAATTTGAAAACCACAATCTCGAACAACACAAACATGGCCCCTTCATATAGACTCCCCATTGGAAGCAACGGTCTGGATTCACTTTCCCCCACTCTATCATGATCCTGATCATTCGCCATTGTTTGAGCCGGTATATGGGCCACTACAGTTGCATGCTTCACGGAGGATCCGGATTCAGGCTGAGCAGTCAGTAACAGCACACGAGCACCGTTGGATTTCGCCACGCTGCATAAAGCGTCAACGGTGGAGAAACCACCGGGACCCGCAGAGGCGATTAAGAGATCGAGAGAGGAAATTGGGGGTGTGGTCATGTCGAATATGCAGTGAACTGAGAGGCCAAGGTGGAAGAGTCTCATGGATAGGGCCTTAAGCATCAGACCTTCTCGGCCTACGCCGTAGACGAAGACTTTGCCGTTACGGCTGGCGGCGGCGATGATTTCCTCCACTAGAACGTTCATGGCCGGTGGTTTTGAGGTGTTTGCGTTGAAAACGGAGCTTATTTGATTGCATATTTGGGAGGCGAGAACTGACATTGAAGTGTTGGGTTCTTCAGCCATTCACGCCAGACTCTCTCTTTCTCACTCTTGCTTAAACCGTTTAGCACTTTGTGCAATGATTGCCTCCTGGATACCTTATCCATTCTTTAAGCGGTTTTTTCTTTTTTCCGTTTTATGTATTTTTAAAAAAATTGCATACTCACATAATTCGTAGTAAAAATTAGCCTTTTTTAAGTTATGTTTGAGCACAATTACCTACAGATTAATTTTTTTCTCAATCTCATTTATAATCTCATATTCTTCCAATAAAATAATTTTATTCATTGTATTCTTTAATCAAGCATTCTCCAAAAATCACTATTATAAAACTTATTTTTCGACAAAATAATAGGGCTCGAATATAACCTTCATTTAAAGTCAGAAAGGAAAATATATTTTTTCATTTCTTGTGATGGGAAATGAGCAACTCTTGAGAAACTAATCGATAATTAAAAAAAAGATCAAACTTTGTCAAGTTCAATTATATTCAATCTCAAACTTTCCCATCTTGTCAAATCAATACAAGAAATGATGGCAGTGAAAGGACAACATCGTAAGCTAAAGTAGTTAAGGATTAGAACATAGGAAACAAGACGTGACGAAGAAAAATGTAAAAATGTAACTTAAAATAATTAAGAAATACAAATTTGTACGTTGTAGCAAATTCTTCAAACTTAATGTTAAAAAAGCTCCAAATCAGATTACCATTATAATGTAATACAACAAAACTGCAACGAAAATGATCAAGAGACAGTTAATGTTGTTTGTAAGGAGCCTTAACCTCATCGAGGGTTCCACATTCTTCATGTCTTTGACTCCAGCAGTTGACAACGGCAATGTATCGCAACTTCTGTCATTTTCACAGTCCTCGACCTCCCCATTAGAGTCGGCTTCGAGAAAGGAGTGCTTTTGACGAAGTTCTTTAACTTTCTGAAATTCATCATAATGGGCTCTCCTATGCTCCTTGAAGTTCCGGGACCTCTCAGAATCGGAATCTGATAGAAGTGTAACAGAAAATCAAAGAGGTGCTTTCAAGGACTGAACATACTGTACAAATTGCTGCGCATTTTACATTTTAGCCTCCATGAGGCAAAATTTACAAAAACATTTATAAATAGTCAAACTTCATTTTCAATCATACATTCCAATGGACCTACAAGTACTATCTACCACTCATTTCTATAACCGTTAATAGGTTCTTCCCAAATGGAACAGAACAATATCATTGATCCCAAACCTATTGCTTCCAGTATTGAGCTTACGGCATTGAACCTTCAAATATGGGCATAGGGGTCATCAATCTCTATTATAGTTGTAAATTTATTTTCCTAAGTAAATTGTCTAAATATTTGTTAAATGGTCACGTGACTGCATAGAAACATGTCCCACTTCAAGTTTCTAGGCAAAGCTCATTTTGGGGAGGAAACCAAACTAGCTTCATCAAGTTGGACATGTCATGATGATTTTGGACGATTTCAATAATTGGGAACTAATTGTGCAACTATAACAAGAGGTTGAGGGCTGACTTGCTATAAGGTCAATCAATATGTGAGGACCTCCCTTTATATAACGTTTAGTTCAATACTATATTATACAACACTGCAGTATGTTCTCATGAGTTAACATTAACATTCATCATTATTGTAACCAAAACATTATGTTTTCATCATTGAATATCAAATGACAGACGGAAAAAATGTAGAAGAGACAAACCTTCATCATCCTGATCCATGATGTCTTCCTCATCTTCAGATGACGTCCAGCCTGAGCTACGTGGATTATTGTTGCTAGAGGAAGCTACATCAGTCAATGCTGGACATATAGCATCTGCGTCCAGTTCATTATCATGGCCATCCTCGAAACTTCCTCTTCTAGGGGATAATGATACTTTAATGACCAACAAAACCAGCTAAAGTCAAAGGATTGGAAGTAAGAATTGCAAAAACTTGAAGCTACAAAAGGACTTCTCTCCAAGATAAATCAAATTCACGTCATAGCTTCGAACTTCAACTTTGATTTTTTGATGGAAAACTATATATGTTATTGGTTCTGTTAATAAAAATAAAAATAGATCTACGCTACTGAAGTGCGAGTTACTTGGTATCACATAAAACTACACAATACCTCAGTCGGCAGCACTCTAATGAGCAATCAGACTAACACGTGGACCATTTTATAAAACATTTATTAATATACTTCCATCATCAAAATACTATAAAACTAACCACTTATTGAAACTTAAACTACATTCTCAATTCTAAATTGGAACCGCTTAAGTATTCCATTTATGGGCTTAAGAACCATGACCCACATTAATATGCTTATAGGTTCTTCAATGACCTACTGGACTCAGACAAAAACTGCACATATTGAGACTTCTCAGGAAACGTAAGCCACTCTCTTTCACCTCCAACGCAAAAGGGTTTATTTTCCTTGGCAATATATAGGCCAAACATGAAAGCAGTTGACTCTGCTGCCAAATTCATGTTCTTCCATAAACATAAATAAGTTCATAGGCTCTTTTATGTGTTTTATTAAGTTCACATTAACATGCAAGAATGGTAGATCAGGACTCAAAGCAGAAGACGTTACAATTGTAACACCTTGAAATGCTTTAGGTTTTGCAAACGTGGAGGACTTCCCAGGAACAGTTTCACGACTCCACTTTTCATCTTAGGTGCGGAAGAAAGCATCTTAATTTATGAACATAATAAAAATCTCCCGGGCTCCGAAGTTGCAGGGATTTCTTAAATATATCATGGAGTGGCCATAAATGAAGTTGCTTTAGATTGTGTTTTAACATAAATCACGATTAGTTCCATGTTCTCCTTTCACTGTGTTGCAATTTGCAAGGTAATCCAAATAATCACATATGATAAGCTAAGCTTAATACTTTGAACATTAGCAATTTCTAGAAAATTTTGTAAGTCCCTAGATTTGATTTAAAAATCTGCTTTTACAATGCAAAACTAAATTCATTTTGCACAAACTCAATTTCCAGGATTTTCCTCGAACATGATCCCTCAGGAATTATGCTATTTGTGCAAGTAGCTAACCACCCACCCCAATGGTCCTAGCCTTGAGTAACTAAGCATTTTCTAGACTTGATGGGCTATTGAAAAGATTTCATACAATTAATCCCATTGTCATGTCAACAATGAAATAAGGGGAAAACCTTGACAAGTAACAAGGGATTGTGGGTTCTACATTTTCTTAAGGAAATCATTGTTGGTAAAATCTATAACAAAGATATAAGGTGATATATAAGAAATTCATTGAACTTACCATCATCGTCAATCAAATGACGGTGATATGGCGTCTTTGGTTCAGTAATTTTTTGCCTTACAGGTTTATTTGCTTCAATCTCCTCAAGATTAGCTTCATTCCATCTAACCCGTGCCCTGCCATCTCAACAACAATGCTTAGTTCTGTATAATCTTAAACAGCCAGAAAGTATTAATGTGCAGAAGACCAGTAAAAGCTATGCTGGCGTAAGATGTGTTATGTTTATTTCATCATAAGAAAATGCAGAATTGAAACACATGGACTGTCAATCTATGGTAACAATTTTAATAATTGGATGGTTATTGCAAAGCTATCATGAATCTTTGAAATAGCGACTGCGAGAAGGGATACATATCAAACTATACACCTCAAAGAAGATACAGCCATCTCAACCGAAGCACCTATGAGATCAAGAATTGACAGCTATCTTTTACAAAATGAAAAGTTTCATAAGGATGAGCACAGTAAATCATTGATAAGTAGAAGTAGTCTTCAAGACTCTGACACAAGTTTTCTTAACAGTCTTGCAATTTGGAAAATTTGAAATCATCAAACAAGTATCAATAATGCAGAAAAAAAGAAAAGCTAGGTTGGTGGAAGATGTCTTATGTTTATTGCATGAAAGAAAATGCAGAACTGTAAACTATTGAGAACAACAGATCTGGTGCAGAACTAATTTGGACGGCTATTGCAGATTATCCCCAATTTTGGTAGCAGTGATTACCACAGGATACATATCCTAATAAAATCATCCTCTCAGATGAAGGTACCCAATATGTTCAAGACATAATGGCTGTATGTTAAAGAAAATGAAAAAAAAGAATATCTATGATATAAAAAAGTTACAGCCAATCATTGAAAAGTACATTTGGTTTTCAATGAAAAGTTCAGTATATTTGGTTTTCAATGAAAAGTTCTTTAACATTCTTGTAGTGCTAATGGGTTAAAGTGCAAAAATGAAACACAATCACCATACAGAAAGTGTGTGGAAGGAATTACTTCTTCATTTCTGCAATCGATTATCCTCTGGATTCCCGTAACAAAAAGTAACCGTCAAGTCATCTGATGAACACGGAAACAACAGAAATAAATCTTCTTGTTACAATACACTTTCACTAAACCATGAAATTAATTGCATTATCCTTATTTCACCATTATTCAAAAAATTCAACTGAAAAAATTAGATTTTCAATTATTAAGAGAAAATTGCTTTTGTAATCACCCATTTGTAAAAATCCTTAAGATTTAAAAAAGAAAAAAAAAAGTTTTAGAAAAACATTCAATTTAATTTTCATGTTTCAATTGATCTAACCAACAAATAGCCAATCATAAATCCAAAAAGAATAAAAATAACGTTCAAATATCCAAATTAAAAAAAATGATAAAATTTGCTGTGTGATGATTATGACATCAAAAATCAATACAACAATGATATCAAGAACCATAATTTCGGTACCAGATAAACAGAATGCATGAAAGAAATTAAAACGAGAACAAATAAAGTAAACGTTTAAAGGATGAAAATTAAAACGAAAATTAACGTTTAAAGGATGAAAATTAAAAGGGGGAGAGAAATCAACTCGTACCTAACGTGAAGAGCAAAATGATGGACTTTCAGCTGTTTTCTCACGAGGAGGTAAAGTTGGGTCGGATCGTGACTAGGCACGAGACCGAGTCTGGAAGTCTGCACTTTATCGGGCTGGCCCGTCTGGCCCCCAGTGCAAGTTATTCGAAAAAAATTTAGTAAAATTATACAACAACCTGTTTATAAATATGACGATTTAAAAAATAAAAGGACGTAAGGTTTACTTAATCATAAATCATGTGATAATTTAATAATTTAAAAGGAAAAAAAATTCATAAGTCAGGTGTCAACTATGACTCAATTCAATTTTTAGGTATCAAGTTATAAAATATGAAACTCAGATATTAGCTAATTAATTAAACATATTTATTAATTAAATATAATAAGGTTACAATTATACAATTAACATTTAACGAACAGGTACATAGTTAGAAGTCACAACCTATTTATTGATCACATATTGTCAAATTAATTGGTCACATATTATGTTGACGTCACAAATAATTTTTTTTTATAGATTACAGTTTATTTTATTGGTTACAAATTTAAAAAAATAAAATACAGGTCACAGTTATCTATTGGTCATATATTTTCAAATTTGTTGATCACAAATTATCGAATTTTAAGGATGCAGTTTAATAGTTCGTTATAAATAACAAAACAGTTGGTCACATTGCCACCATTACCAACTCTACAGCCGCCACTGCCACTTGCGACCACTACCACCAACACAGCCTAATAATACAACGATTATCAACACAACTCTACCACCAACAACATGGATAGAGACATAGCCCCGACAATCCACTACCACCGACCATTTCACTCCCAACAATGACATAGCTGTCGAAACGCAAACTGAGCATCGACTTTGGACCAAATATTATTCAGATTTGAAATCATGGTACCAATTCTGGTTTTCATATCTCAGATGCAATACAAGGAGTGTGAGGTGCCAACGACGATTTACTGTGAATAGATGCGATTAGCTACATTGAACTTGCATCTAACCTTCGCGGTACCCTATTCCGTCGAAGAACCTGTAGAAGTGCTGCCTTGCACAGCTTTAGAGTTGTGCCCCTGCATGCAGAGGTATAATGCTAAACTGTGTAAGGCGGTGATGTGCCTCGAATATCGTAATGTGATGGTAGCGTTGGGAGAAGGGACGTATAGTTGTTGTAAAATAGGTTTGGGTGGAGGAGGAGAAAAGAGTTTGGTATATGACAGCAATGAGGGAAATAATTTAGGGTGGGTAAATTTTATAATATTATTAATAATTTAATTAATACTTGATTTTTGAATTGAAAAATCTAAACACCTATTTATATGTAATTTCCTCGATTTAAAATTAAATTAATACCCATACATTTATCCCACTTCCCAATTAACTCCTAAGCCAATTTTATTCCCAACCTTATCTTCTCTCTCTACACGCACAACCTTGTCCTTTCTACCACGTGTTTCTCTATCTATTCTTCTTCTACTTATCTTTCCTCATCATAGATGCTTTGAACAATGTCGCAGCTCTCCGAACATGAATTACATTTAAAATTAAGAGGTGGAAAGAAAACAGATCAATAATTCTACTCATTGTAGATAGGCCAACATACAAAATTCCAGATCTAGGGAAAATAAAAGGGTGCATCATCTGACAGAAACAACACTGAGCTCCTGTTTGTTTCCCATTCTTTCTTCATTAAAATGAAAAATATGATCGTTATCCATCACATCAAGCCACCAAATTTGAATTTCTATCTCTTGTGTGAAATTCATAACGACTATATTTTTCATTCTCACTTTTGCAAATATGAGAAACAAACGCCCCCTAAAGAAGAGAAATGGCTTTGTTAAAACTTAGATTGCGTTTATAAAGATTAGATTAAATTTGGATGATTAATTAGATATGTTTTCACTTTCTTGTTAAAGGGTTAAAAGCAAGTGGAGAGACATTTTGGTGTTTTGTGACTTTTTTGTGGTGGCTTGTGATGTTTTGTGGTGTGGTGGTGGTAGTTGTGATCGTAATGGTTTTGTTTTTTTGTTTTGTGGTTTTGGTGGAGATTTTGTGATGATTTTATGGTGGTTTTTAGGTGATTTTGTGATTTTTTTGTGGTCCTTTTTATGGTGGTGGTGACGGTGATGGCGGTGATCAAATAATCAGTGTATGTCAAATGTTGTATTAATATCTGGTGGTGGTGCCGATTGTGGTGATAGGTCACAAGTCATTGTGCAGGTCACACTCCACATGTCACATGTCATATTGTATAGGTCACTGATCAATGTCAACGAGTTACAAACCAAAATTAACTTGTCACGAATTATATGTCACATGTTTTTGCGCACTTAAACAAGTCAATATTTAAGTTAATATGTCATAGTTCATATGTTACTGGTCACATGTCATATTGCATAGATAATAAATCAATTTCCACAGGTTATAGATCCAATAGAATCGTTGGATTAGCTCACATATCACACGACAGGTCACATATCAAAGTACACAGATCACATGTTACAAATTCAAGATAACAAGTCACATGCCACACTCCACATGTCAAATACCATATTGTATAGATTACATATTAGTGTCAAACATGTTACAAACCAAAATTATATAGTCAGAGATCATATATCACGTCTTTGAGCACTTATCACAAGTCAAAGATTTAAGTTCATATAGTACTAGTCATAAGTAATAGTTCATAGGTCATATATCATAATGCATAGGTAATTTAATCAATATCCATAGGTTACAGATTCAAGAGAATTGATGCCTTTGGATTAGGTCACATTCAAAGTACAACGGTTACAATTCACAAATTTAATAGAACTAATTACACGCCATTGTTTTTCCGACCTCACTTCATCAAACTGGTTACAAATTCAATTGACCTGATTTCGGCTATGAAAATTGAAGTTATTTTCTTTTGTGAATACTTTGTAGATTATCTTCTCGTTCGATCTTTTGGTACACATTGCCAACAACTTTTAATTTGTAACCTCAATCGTCTAGCAAATTTCAATTAATTAGATTTTGGCTATGAGAATTGAAATTATTTGCTTTTGTGAGTTCTCTGTAGATTATATCTTTCTGTGATATATTAGGAAGAAGTTCTCTATGGATTTTTGTCCGATATTCCAGGAAGATGTTCTCTATAGATTCTATCTTTGCTCCAACAAAATTATTTGGATTCAATGTAGATTCTATCTTAAATTTTCGACGATGTTCTACTAAATTAAAAATCCAAAACAAGTTGCGATGGTCATGGATCTCGAATCAAGTAGATGACGGTGAATATGAGATACGATGACGACTGGTGAATGTCGATGATTGAGAAGGAGACCGGAGATAGATATATAATATATTATTTTATATATTATATTTATTAATTACTACCTAAATTCTGAACTTTTAAAATTTTTCTCTTAAAATTGAATTTGGGTGTAATAATATGCGAGTTATGCATTCTTTCCGAAAATTATTAACCTACCGAGTATGGCATTTATAGATCAGAATGCAAAAATCATGTAGGAAATTTTTTTTATTCAAAATTCAGGTATTGATTTAATTATTAATATTAACAATATTAATATAAAATAATTCAAACCTATTACATCTCAATTTTACTATAGTCCCAGAATTTAGATCCGTTTCTCCCATTTCTCCCCACTTAATCCATATCTTCGGTGCCCTCACCCACTGCCGGAGACCACCGTCGAAATCACGATGACGATCTACAGCTTATTGAGGCGAAAATGGCAGCAATTGCGCCTTGCAGTGAAAATGAAATTCCTCTCCCACATAGCATCGAGCACTGTCCATAGTCGCGAGCAGGAGTGATGATGCCAGCACAAGAACCACGACTCGTAACGCAATCAAAAGTGTTGCACGGAGCAGAAACCATCAAGATCTGTGAGACTGTGGACTGGTTGGGGGCTTTGGGATTGTTGAGGAGGATGGCGATGTGGGTGGTGTTGTTGACCATGGTGGGTGACTTGCTGTTTTCGAGTCTCTTTTAGTGGTCTTTTTGTTGTTGGTGGTGGTGTTTTGGTGGTGTTGTGGCGTGACAGATCAGTGGGTGGCTACGGTTGTGCGGCGATGTAGTGCAGGTGGTGATTTTCTGGTGGTAGATGTGCATGGTTGGGCGTTGCACATGATTTGTGAAAAAGCCGTACGTCCCACCTCTTTCCTTTTCTCTATCACCGTTGCGAGAAAAAAATGTGTGGTTTCGTGAGAGCGACACTGTGATCGGTGTGACTTGGTGGTGTTGGTAGTTTGGAGTGGTGGTGGTGATGTTGGCGGTGGCTATGATGTGTTGTGGTCGAGGATAGTATTTGTGACCAAGTATTGTGATGGATCGGGATAGGGTGTTTGGTGTCTGTAACAAACTATTTGGTCCTCTTGTGACTGATTATTAATCAGTGACCTTGAATTTCGATCATTTTATGACTAAAAAAGTAATATGTGACCATCAAATTTAAAAATCTATAACATGTGACCTATAATTTTTTGAATTTGTTGTGATCTATAATTTATTATCTGTGACCTCAAAATAACCCGTGACTCATCAAAATTTTGATTTGTGACCTAAAAAAAATTTGAGACCAATTAATTTGATAATATGTGATCGGTAAATAAATCGATGACCTATAATTGTGAATCT